ATGTTAATAAATTTTAAAAGATTGAAATTATGCAGCGTCATTCCTAATTACTATGAAATAAACTAAAAATATCAGAAGAACTGGAAAATTCACAAATGTGTGGACATTAAATAACACACTTTTAAACAACCAATGGGTAAAATAAGAAAAATTAGAAAATACCTTAGGACAAATGAAAACACAATTTGCAAAAACTAATGCAAAAACTAATGCTGTAAAAGCAGTACTAAGAGGGAAATTTATAACTTTAAATACTTACATTTTAAAAGGATAAAATATTTCACTTCAACAATACAACTTTATGTTTTAAGGAAGTAGAAGAAGAATAATGATCTAAACCCAAAGCTAGCAGAAAAAATAAAATAATGAAAGATATGAGCAAAGATTACCATAATTCATTTGAGAATGTTGCCTAAAAATACAGTAAAGAAACTCAATATTATTTTCTTTTCTATTAGAAATTCAATGATATGCACTCTTAAAACACTTCTCCAGGAAATGAGATATTATTATAGACAAATTAACCTGAAATAGAAACAGTCGTTTGATTCTTCTACTTGTTCCTAAAGTTGAGAATGAAAAAGGCTACATTCTTGTTGAGATTAGTTTCCAGAACTGAAGCCTCAATGGAGACTTGGTCTTTTCCATTCTCTGCAGAATATGGCTTTAAATTATGTCCTTAGAGTTCTCTCTAGCTTATCCCATGCTCTGGGTACCAGCCTTCATACTTACACCACACTGCATCACTGGCATCACTGCTCTTAATGAGAATGTGGGAACAATTTCCTAAGTTCATGAAATAAGAAGTGGACAAACAGCTCAATTAAGAAATGAATATCTAAAATTAGTTTTGATTATAGTTTTAGTATTTTGAATAAGGTGAGCCAGATGGAAAGAACATCCATCCCCTGTGCAACTTAGGTAGAAAAAATAATTCCGTTAATAATTTAATCAGAACAAATGATTGCTCTAAGGAATCAAATGTAGCAGGAAAAGATAAATCTTTAAGAACTAAGGCTCTTAAAATATAAGAATATAAGATAATAATGAGAAGCTGAGTCTAAGAATTTATAGTAATATCAGAAGTACACCAAAAGCTGATTGAATGGCACAGTTCTGATTTAAAGTCATTACGCTACCACGGAGCTCAAACTGTCAAAGTGGATTTATGAAAATTATACAGCTTACTTAATACCGAGTTTTACTAATTGATGAAGAGTATGAGCAAAAAGTAAGCAGAGAAACAGCAACACCCATCTCTGAAAAGGCCCAAAAGATCTGACATACTTCCAAAAAAATCTATTTTTGCACTGTAATGTACTTTTTGTCTGAGTAGGAGATTAATGTTACTGTATGTACCACGTACATGCCGTACAAGTTAGCCCTACGAGGCCATTTAAGTTTAGAGCTTCTTAGGTTTTACATTCCTTTAGTTGCACAGGTAGGAAACCTACATGACTAACTTTAGCTCTCCAAGTTGTGCCCTGTACTTCACAAATTCCAGATTCATCTACAATAAGCAATGCAAAAAGCCTACTAAAAACATTCTTACATGAGAACTTCTTGGGTTATCTTCCTGCTTGTAAATACCATCAGAGTGTTTACAAGGAGGGAAGAGTAATGAAGCTGTTGCTAGTTCTTTCTCTTTTGTGAAGACACAGATGAAGTGCAGTGCTGGGAGTGGCAAGGGATTGACTCAAGCAAGATTCAGAAATATACAAGTGATTCAATGGCCCTTTATATTCAAGTCTCCAAACTTGAGTTTTATATACCATCTTCTCAAAGGAATAAAACAAAAAATTCAATCATATACAACAATTTTGTCTATTATAAAGTTGAATGTTTGCCCCACACCTGGCCTGCCATCGTGCATTAGGGGACCATGGATGATCAAAAGAATCCCTGTCCTGATGAGGTCACTGCTGATGCTCTTATTTATGCTAAATTGCGAACATTTGATGCACATGGGTCCATGATTCTTTACCAACCATACCAATCACGTCTAGGACAGATAAGGGGGAGGAAGATGGAGTACATGCAACACCCTACCAAATTCTCTGCCATCATCTGACTCTGCACCTACTCCATCTTCCCTTCAAGACCAATGGAAGGTGGGTGCTGCTTATGGTAATCAGATCACCAGGTTGCTGTTCCAGGGCCATATGCAGGGAGTACAACCAAAAGCACAGGCTTCCCTTTATCTTTTTGTTCCTGCCCAGCTACGATGTCAATTCTTGCCCGAAATTTGACCTATCCCTCTTTTCCAGTCCAAGTAACATGGTTTTTCTTACCTGCATGGCTTCATTGAAACCAAAACTAACATTTCCAAACACCTGTCTGTTAAAAGTAGAGATGAATTTTGTTTTTCAAATTTGAAAATGCTCATTAAAATAGAAAACTAATGTGTGCCAGCTGAGTAATACTCAGATGTCTCTGTACAAGAACCCTTCATCCATCTCTGCTTCGCAGTCCTCCTGGGTCTGGGAGCTGACCTCAGGCACAGCCAGGCAGGGAACTCATGGCTCACTCTCAGTACAGGGGGTGGAAACCAGAATAATCAAGACCAGTCTGGCAACATAGCAAGACCTTGTCTCTACAAAAAAATTTAAAAATCAGCCAGGCATAATAAGTGTGTGCTTGTGGTCCTAGCTACTCAGGAGGCTGAGGCAGGAAGATACCATGAGTTCGAGGCTCAAGTAAGCTATTAAATAATGGTACCACTGCGCTCCAGCCTGGACAAAATAGCAAGACCCTGTCTCAAAAAGGGGGGGTACATAATAATATATCTTCCCATTCCATATTTATCCACCCCTTACCCCTGAGACATGACCATAATATCCTTGCAGAACTATTGTATGTATACATGAGCAAGTATGCACAAGCTATTTCTCTGTCTTACAGACATGGAAGCATTTCTTAAATAATATCTAACAACCTATTTTTTCTTAAACATGTTGGTAATTGTTCTATATCACTATATGAAGACCTCCTTTGAAGAATTTTTTTTACAATTTCTTATTATTAGGAAATAGAACTTACATAATAGTGCATAATTATGTACTGTGTAAATTATAAGCACACATCTTTTACTGCCATACAGATTTTTTAAAATTACGTATGTGAATAGCATCTCAATAAAGCAGACATTTTAAAAAAAAAAGAATGAAAGAAAGGAAAAGAAATAGGACCCTTCCGCAGCACAGAAAACTCTCTCGTTCCCTACAAAAGCTAGAGTTTAAAACCAGCCTGACTACTGGGTGTATTTTTGTTTTTTTGTTTGTTTGTTTGTTTGTTTTGAGGCGGAGTCTCTCTGTCGCCCAGGCTGGAGTGCAGTGGTGCCATCTCGGCTCACTGCAAGCTCCACCTCCCGGGTTCACGCCATTCTCCTGCCTCAGCCTCCCGAGTAGCTGGGACTACAGGTGTGCACCACCACGCCTGGCTAATTTTTTAAATATATTTTTAGTAGACACAGGGTTTCACCATGTTAGCCACGATGGTCTCGATCTCCTGACCTCGTGATCTGCCTGCCTTGGCCTCCCGAAGTACTGGGATTACAGTCGTGAGCCACCGTGCCCAGCCTATTTTTGGGTTTTTAATGAATGCTTTTACCATCTATACAGGCATCTCTCTGAAACATTATTTACTATATATTTGGCTTACAATTGCTTTATCTGACTTGGGACTTGAGGGGTAGGTATTCTGGCATAGTTTCTGTATCCTGATCTAGTATGTCACTTATAAAATATATATGGTGGCCAGGTGCAGTGGCTCATGCCTGTAATCCCAGTACTTTGGGAGGCCAAGGTGGGTGGATCACAAAGTCAAGAAATCGAGATCATCCTGGCCAACATGGTGAAACCCCATCTCTACTAAAAATACAAAAATTAGCTGGGCGTGGTGGTGGGCACCTGTAGTCCCAGCTACTTGGGAGGCTGAGGCAAGGGAATTGCTTGAATACGGGAGGTGGAGGTTGCAGTGAGCTGAGATCGCACCACTGCACTCCAGCCTGGTGACAGAGCAAGACTCCATCTCTAAAAAAAAGAAAAAATATATATATATACACATATACACACATATATATGGTTAGAATTTTAAAATCCAGCCTGATGATCATTTTACTTTTAATGAAAACATTTAGTCTAATTACACTGAGTACAATTATTGATATTTTCAGTTTATATGTAACATTTTATTTTGTGCTATATTTTTTTGTCTTCCTTTGGATTGAGTGTATTTTTGTTATACTATTGTTTTTCTTGTCACTTGCAAGTTATTTGCATAGTTTGTATTCCTTTGTTAGTTATTTAAAGATATTAGGCATTACTTATAAACCATAAGATATTAGGCATCACTTATAAAGCATAGCTTAAACTTAATCAATGTCTTTACTCATGCTCTGGATAAAACAAGAACTTAGAACCTTTAACATGGTTACTCTTTTTTCTGTTTTAGAGATTTTGTTGTAGATTGCAATTGTATGTTTGCAAGCCCAGAAGTCTTTATTATTACTGATAAACTCCATCTTGAGATTCAAGCAACCTGCCTCTCCATTTGCCTGTTCAAACCTGGAGAGGGCTCCTCCCGACCATTGCTTGCCTTGAGGTTATACCTTCGGGTTAACATTTTGTCTTGGTGGTCTCCCTGCACCCTGTCCACACCTTTGAATATACCCTTATTATTAAAGTCTTCTTAAGCGACTCAGTTTGAGAGTGCTAGGACCCTGATGATATAATCTTATACCCATTTTAAGACACTGATCGTTTTTAGCACCTAGTGGAGAGTTCTGTGAAGGGAAAGGACCTTTGAAGCAAGCAGCCTTGCCTGGGAATCTTGGCCCCAACTCCTAAAAGGTCTCAAAGAACAACACAACCACTCTCTCTACATGCCCCCTAAAATTGTAAGATACCCTTCTGCACCAGGTGTGTTTCACTGAGTCCGGTGAAATAAAGGAGAAAAGGAAGCAATAGGAAGAGATGGAAAATGTTTAATAAGGACAGGAATTAGTGTTCACAGACCTGTTCCTTCTGGAGATTTTCCAGGACATTTTCTCTGATCTGCAGTAGCTGCACTTCTGGGAGGGCACCTGTGCTGAGGTCCATGTCCAGCTTGGTCCAGACAATGTAGAACTTCTTTCCCATGTCCTCAATGGTTTTGGCAAGCATCACATGATTCATGCTGAATTGTGCAGATGCAACCATGATGAAGTCATACTGGTTGAACTGCATTTCCATGAGGTAGTTCTCCAGGGTTTTGGTGGCAGACCCTGTGCCAGGCAGGTCCCACAGCACCATATTTGGAAAGTGGGAAGATAAATAGGGGGCACATCTTTGGGTAGCTTTTACCAGCCCAGTAGGAGGTGAGGGCTTCCCCTCATGTCCTGTGTTTCAAAGGGCACTGATGAAGGTATTCATCCCACTGCCAGAGTCCCTGCCATAGCAATGTTGACTGGTGTCCTGGACACTATCTTCAGAGTCTCCTTGATGGCAGAGGCCACCTCTGGCAAGTTCCCACCTACTAAGGCTTTCTCAACATTCGTGGCCTCCGTCTTTGATAAAATACCCCAATGCTGGCCGGGTGCGGTGGCTCCTGCCTATAATCCCAGCACTTTGGGAGGCCGAGGTGAGCAGATCACGAGGTCAGGAGATTGAGACCATCCTGGCCAACATGGTGAAACCCTGTCTCTACTAAAATACAAAAAGTTAGCTGGGCATGGTGGTGTGTGCCTGTAGTCCCAGCTAATCGGGAGGCTGAGGCAGGGGAATCACTTGAACCTGGGAGGCAGAGGTAGCAGTGAGCCGGGATCGCGCCACTGCACTCCAGCCTGGTGACAGAGCGAGACTCCGGCTCAAAACAAACAAACAAAAAACCCAATGCTTATGGTGTGGCCAAAAGGGTTTAGGATACAGCTAATGGAGTGTGAGGGGCACGTGGGAACTCTGTCATATCGGGGGGCACTGGAGTAAGCTGTGGAAGTAGAAGAGCAGGTGAGTTAGGATGGACAGGGTGCACATGAATCATCTGACTTTTAGCATCCCCAGCCCTCAACAAAGACTGCAGCAAAGACATCTGGATTAAAAACAATCAAAAAACACTCATTCAAGCAATGTGCACATTCCTTCAGGGAGCAAGAACGGTAGGGCCCCTGAGGAACCCTCTGAGGCCGGTTGTGCCTCCAATAGTCAACCTCCAAAGCAGGAATGTGGTCATGAGACGGCTTGAATAGCAGGGAATGAACCAAGTCTCCTGAAAAGCCCAAGAATTTTCTGTCTTTTTCTCTTTTACTCTATCCTAACTGTCTGCTCCTTCACAAGTTTCAGTTCACAACCAAGGCCAGACAAGTAAAAGAGATCTATAGATTTCTCTGCTGAAGATGGCGCCAGAGGACATAAAACATCCAATTCCCATTGCTTACTTGTAGCTGTGGTCGGTCTCTGTTTAACACTTGCTTCATCAGGCAGGGGAGCACACGTGCAGAGCAGTACTGAAATGCTGCAATACATACAAAGTAAGCCACCAGCCTTTGACCCCCCCGAGCTTCCCTTAGGATTCTCACGTTGGGCCCAACTGAAGTGAGGGAGAGGAGAGAGTATACTCAAATGCTCTGCTCTTCTTCGAGGCAGTGATTAAACAATTGATTATCACTGTGTTTGCCAAACCTGGCTCTTGCAGGTTCCCCACGGGCCCAGGTATTTGAGACTGATTAAAAGAAGGTGATGTGATTCTCTACTCCTAGCATGGCCTGGCAGGTCTGTTTCACATACTCACTGTGAACACACACAACACTCTACACAGAGCCTCTCACACCTGGTGTGCACACTCACCCATGCCCAGCCATGTTCACTTACCCCACACACTCGCGCTCACACCGTCTCACTCACCCTCAGCATGCACACATACACTCGCTCGCAATCTGTGCACAGGCCCACACATATTCACACGGACACACGTTCACGCACCCTAACATACTTAAGCTGACATGTGTAAACATGAATACACACATTCATCCCTGTTGCACACACACTTGCTCACTCAGGCTGCAACATGTTCACTTACCCCACACACAAACACACATTCACTCGTGGTGCCAGGTTCACACAAACTTACGTTTGGTGCACACACGCTCACACACTCTGTGCATGTATATATACACTCATGTAGGCTGACACATGTTCACTCACCTACCCTCACTCATGCTTGGTGTGCCCAGTGCCCACACATTCTCTCACATGACACATGTTTGTACACTCATGCACACACAGAATCTTGCCTCCTGAGTGCCCAGGACAATGGATTTGTCCAAGTCTGTGGCCCTTTTAGAGGGCCCAGGAAACAGAGAACTGGCTCCAGCTGTCCATCTATGAACTATGAGGAAAGGCCCTAATGGAGGAGATGGATGAGAGAGGCCCTGTTCTCTGGAATGTATGTGAGTCTTCAACTTCTCGGTGCCTCACTTGCCTTGGGAAGATTTTATAACCCACCATATGGCGAGAGCAGCAACTGATCATTGACTTCTTCATGCCAGACTTCATCTGTGGCTGCTATGTAAAGTTTCTCCACTGTAACATTAATTATTTTGGTTTATGTAAATAACTAGTTTCTTCTCATCAAATGCTACTTAGATATGGTTGCTTTTAGTTAGTCCACAAAGAGGAAGAGGTAACCTATGGAATCTGGAGGGAAGGGGGCAGGGCAGTTACCAGGTTCAAATGTAGTCCCTCAGCAGTCTAGCAGGAAAATGGAGTGGGGAGGTCTGGCCTTCGGAGTTTTGCCCACATGTCTCTGCATGGATAGCTGGCAGGCTGGTTAAGGTGAGGAATCGAGCACTCCCCTTCCCGACAACGTTATACTTGATAGATGCACAAGGGAGTGGAACAGGAGCACATGCAGGGCCGTGGATGGGCTTGGGCCTGTGGCAGGGCCATTTTCTAACCCAAGTAGTCCTAGAAAGTATTGCTTCATCAGGTATTAAATGATTGGCATCATATGAATACATACACAGGTCTTGGCATTAACCATTAAACATTTCCACTAGAATCTTTACCATTGTATTCTTTGTGTCCAGCAGGTGTTTAACATATTTTTGTTTGATTAATAAAACACAGTACACTTTGTGTGTTATTAACTTATTAACAGACAGATAAATTAACTTCCCTTTCTAAACTGTCCCTGCTGAGCACGGGGCCTACTAATATACATCTGATTTTCAAGCACACTCCGCTTGGGTACGACACAGGCCAGTGCAGGGTACTGACTGTCCATGGTGAGTGTGGGAGGTCAGCAGAAAACCCTATAGTTTTCCAGGCTTTTTCTGTGACCATGTCTGTGAACAGAGCCAGCAGCTTCAAACCTGTCTGCTTACCTGTCCACCAGTGCTGAGCCACATGGAAAAGGGCCTTAGCCCCTGCAGCCCCAGCTCAACTGTCCCACCCCCAGGCCTCGATCATCTGATCCACTTCTCCTGGGCCCATGTGAAGCCTCACCAGCTGCACACTGGACACCACTGAGCCCAAAATAATTATTTGTACAATTGAGATACTTTATCTCAGTTACACCAGGACTCTTCTGTGTTGTGTCTGCCCAGGCCCCTGTGCCACTGCCAGTCCAGTGAGGGCATGGTTTCCTCTGCATGAGGTTGCAGTGTCTTCCAGGTGTTTTAGTGGGTCTATGTGTTTGTGTGCATGAGCCTCCAGGAGCACTGACCTGGAAGTTTAGAAGAGGTCATCAGAATTCAGCCTGGGTTGCAATTGCTCCAAGCTCGGCTCTTTGAATATCTTGCCCAGATATATTGCCAGATACCTTCCTCCAGACAGGAGAAGAGGAGTCCTTTTGGAAGAGGAGGAAGAGGCCCTTCGAAAGGGAGTCACGGGACCAGGTTCAATTACAGAGTGGCAGCCATACAAAAAAAAAAAAAAAAAGAACCAGACCCTAGAAGGAGCATCATTTACTAAGTGAGCACATAGGAACCAATACACATGCACACAAATACATGCACACAGGCGAATGCAAGGTATTACAGAACAATTTGCCTTAAATACACTCTATAACTCCTATTCCATTCTATGAATGGTTTTTCATCTGTTTGTTTTTTAATGCTGGTCATAATCTGATGAATTAATTTCACGAGTAAAATATGCAGAATGTAGAACACAGATTAATAGATTTCCCATGTAAGGTTATATATAGTTAATTCCATACCAGTTATCTTGATCCCCAAACAAAGGTACTTACAGCAAAGTAAGACCTGGCCTTAGCACAGATGTGGAGGCTGGTGCATCAGAGAACTCCATGAACCCGGAAACCAATGTGGATCAAATCCCAGGCTTTTGCTCTGTTTGATCACTATCAGAAATGGCTGACGGAAAAATCAATGTGATGATTCATGTAGAATAATGAAACTGGATCCCCAGCTCTCACCTTACACAAAAAATAAACTCAGCTGGGTGTGGTGGCTCATGCCTGTAATCCCAGCACTTTGGGAGGCTGAGGCGGGTGGGTCATGAGGCCAAGAGATCGAGACCATCTTGGCCAACATGGTGAAACCCCATCTCCACTAAAACTACAAAAATTATACATATGTGACAAACCTGCACATTGTGCACATGTACCCTAGAACTTAAAGTATAATAATAAAAAATAATTAAAATTAGCTGGGCCTGGTGGTGTGCACCTGTAGTCCCAGCTACTCGGGAGGCTGAGGCAGGAGAATTGCTTGAACCCGGGAGGCAAAGGTTGCAGTGAGCCGAGATCGTGCCACTGCACTCCAGCCTGGTAACACAGCAAGCCTCCGTCTCAAAAATAAAAATAAAAATAATAATAATTTAAAAATAAACTCAAGATGGATCAAAGACTGAAATCTAACTTGAAACCATAAAAATTCTAGAATATAACACTGGAAAAATTCTTCTAGACATTAACATAGGCAAAGAATTCATGGCTAAGATCCCAAAGCAAATGCAGCAAAAACAAAAATAAATAAATGGAACCTATTAAACTAAAAAGCTTCTGTACAGCAAAAGAATTAATCAGCAGAGTAAACAGACAATCCACAGAGTGGGAGAAAATCTTTGCAAACTATGCATCTGACAAAGGACCAATACCAGAATCTACAAGGAACTCATACAAATCAGCAAGAAAACAAATGAATAATCCCATCAAAAAGTGGGGCAGAGAACATGAATAGACAATTCTCAAAAGAAGATAGACAAATGGTCAACAAACATGAAAAAACATGCTCAACATCCCTAATAATCAGGGAAATGCAAAGTAAAAACACAGTGAGATATCACCTTACTCCTGTCAGAATGGCCATAATTTAAAAATTAAAAAATGACAGATGTTGGCATGCAGGTGGTGAAAAGGAACACTTTTATACTGCTGGCAGTAATGTAAACTAGTACAATCATTATGGAAAACAGTATGGAGATGACTCAAAGAACTAAAAGTAGATCTACCATTTGACCCAGCAATCCCACTACTGGGTGTCTACCCAGAGGAAAAGAAGTCATTATATGAAAAAGACACTTGCACATGCATGTTTATACTAGCAGAGACCTTGGGCATCTGCTTCACCTCTCAGAGAATCTCATTTCCTTCTGTTTTAAATGGGGACCATAATAAAAGCCCCCAGGGTGTTTAAAGTAAGTGAAGCGATGCCCCAGTACAAGGGCTCTATAAGACTGGTAAGATGGTAGTGTGTCTGCTTTCTGGAGATTTACAGAACTAAGAAGTTGCAAAACCACTTATGCAGCTATGAGATTGTGAGGTTGGCTTTGTCCCCCCTTACTCCTTGCCCGGGTCAGAACAGGACAACTGTCAGATTGAGGAGGCAGAAAGGGCATGTGGATGTGCCTTCACCAAAGGCCAACAGTAAGGGCCAGAGGGAAGAGCCCAGTGTGCAGAACACAGTCAACAGGACCTCAGTTGAAAGATAATGGGGCCCACCTGTTGCAGAGACTGAGGAGGTGAGAGGAAAACCTGCAGATTAGGGCTTTGCCTATCTCAAAGATCCAAAAAGGAGTATCAGAGAGGATCCCTCATGGTCCCTCATACTAGAGGATAGGAAGTAACATTCACTACCCCCCAGAGACCATTAAGGCCAGATTGCAACCATATCACAAGCGAGACTTGTCCTGACTTTCACCACTGCCTCTCCTCTCCCCACCTCTCTACCCTTCAGCACCCTCCCCACTCCCACACAGACACCTTGTAAGGGTCCCAAACATCAGACGCTCATAGCATAGGAGGTAGGAGAAAGAAAAGACCAGAAGCTGACTCTTTTCTTGTCCCTCCTGCTGATTTCTCATTCCAAGGTGGGACTGAGCTGGGGCGAGGGAGATGTAAGTTCAACAAGGGTCTAGGGCTTGTTTATTAGAATGTCTGGACTTCCGATTACCTGAGTGTGACCAGGAGAGAGTATATTCCCTGAGCATCGCCAGAGAATTAACGAACCTGTGTGGTATTCCAGCCAATCCTTGGGGACTATCATGGGTCCCTTTTGGAGCTGCGATGCAGGGGGCAGTGATGTGAAGGCATCAAGACGCTTTCAGTGATTCCAGAGCAGATTCCTTAATTCTATCTCACTCTGCCCCTAGGACCCAAAGGCCAGGTCTCTCTCAGTGGAGCATAGGCAGAGAAGAGATTTCAGACTCATCAGTACTCGTTGTGGGGGAAGAAGACCCCAGGGGCTGAGCAGGGAGGGGAAGGAGGAGGCTCTCACTGGCCTTTGCACTGCCCCCAGAAGTCCTAGTCTGTCATCCCAAATCCAGCTCTGCTGACTGAAGACTTGTCGGCTCCTCTCAGTCACTGAGAGTCCTAATTTTGGCCCCAGTGGCTTCTCACCCTCCCCTCTCTCACTGAGCCATCCACACCGGGCAGCCTGAGTACTGGACAGAGAGCCTTTCACTCTCCTATCCTTGGAAATACTGGCTTTGTTGGGAAGAGGAAAAAGCATAATCTGATTTCACTTTTCTTTTTCATATATGGAGCTTTCAAGAAAAAGTCGGAGTCTTACATTTCAGCCAGAGCATAAATATCAGCACTCTCTTACTTTTTAACAGGCAAATTAGGCATTTCTGTTCCAAATACTCTGGCTGGTTTGAAAAAAAAATCAGATGGGAATCTCAGTCTTAAAATGAGAGATTTGGAGCTCACTATCTCTGCTTCGGGCCTCAGGTTCTTTGAATGTTAATCATCAGTGATACCCCTCAGGGCTGTGGCTGCCACACTAGGAAAGCTTCTGGTGCACTAGTATGCAAAGAGCCCCATGCAGCTTTCACCCATAATGGGGGCTCCTATATCTCTTGCCATCACAGCCCAGCCCCACTCAGCCACAGCAAGGTAGGTGCCAAAGGATTTTGCCAGCACGTCTTACCTCCTTGTTGTGGCAACAGTTAACAGTTTCCAAAACCGAAAAAATGTACATCCATCAGATGTGACTTTCTTGGAAAGACAGCAGGAGCAGAGGGGGCTGAGCCAAGTGCAGCCAGTTAAGTAAAAGGTGGCAAGAAGAGTTGCGTTTAGTGAGGAATTTGCGAGTGAGGGAAGAGATAGTAGGTGTTTTTCTGATGGTTAGTCCCTGGGTGTGGGAGCTGCAGATGGAGGGGATCATGGGTGTCTGATAGAAGAGAAAGTGTCCTGCAAACGGGCTGAGGTCCCAGGTCCTCCTCAGTCAGTGTCTGAAGCCTTTCCTCCATTATGTCTGAGATTCATTATCTTGAAGTTATTTTCATTTCATTCAGGCTTTATGAAGTTGAAGTAGATAATGTATGTGTAAGCACTCAAGAAATCCTGAAGAATTTAGTTATTTAAATTCCCATTACTATTCCATTGTTCTAGCTGATGTTCATCCAAGAATGTGGAATAAAGTATTCCTTATCCAACTCACATAGAGACTAGGTAGTAGGCAGGGGTACAGGGGCATGCCTGCTGTGTATCTAGGTCCCTGAGAGAAGGGACATGGAGGGAGGAATGACCAGGAACAACGGTTACTTCCCATCTGTTGTAGGCTGGTTCTCTTTCATCCTAGCTCTTCTCAGTCTTTGCCTCTTTTGAACTCTTCATCTCTGCATGCTGCTGACTTTAGCTGGGTATCCATGGTTAATATTCAATATATTTATCCATCAGAGATGTGGACCTGAGCGCATAATGACCTCCTCATCATTGACACCAGGAGCTTGCTGACACCTAGGGGAGGATGCTCAGTGAGGATGTACTCTGTTATCAATAGAGCCTGGCAATAGACCCCCGTTACCCAGATCTGC